TATATGATTGGTTTAAAATTCCCACATGAAGTAAACAATGTCCTTCAGTTTGCATCCTTGGATTTGTTTTATTTAGACTAAACTAAACCGTCATAAAGAGATAATTGATAACAAATATCAGTAAATTATTTGAAATAATGTTCGATAAAAGCACATTAAAAGAAACCAATATGAGAATCTTATATGACAATAACTATAAAAAAAGTAGCAATATGTCTCAAATCTTTTCTAGAGAAAAATTAAATTCCTAGATAAAACTGCAAAACAACACAAACATCTTAAAATGGATAATTATTTCAAATATGATGCGAAAAAATGTTAAAATGAACGAGAAGAACGATGTAATTTTAAAAAATAAAATAGACGCGTTTCATGTTTCTGAATTAAACTACCCAGGTCAAAAAGGCACGATCGTACACGGTCATATACGACGAAATACGTTTAGAAACGGTCGTGGTATACGACAATCGTATACGATCAACGTATACGTTGAAAATAAACGACTATTGTGCACGAGTGTAGTATACGACCGTACATGGTTGTAATTTAGTCGTAAATTGAGTTGCATGTGTCGACCATACCCAGGTCAAACAATCAGACAGTAAGATCTTACAAGATCGTACCTCTGATCTTGTACAATTTCGTAAGATCAGATGAAAATTCTACAGAAAATCATCATCTAAGAATTCTGTTGATCCGTTGTACTATAAGATTCTTGAAAGACCCTGTTACCGTGTAAGATCTTTCATAAATCTAATAGTATGATCTGATGCAAGATTTTTTAGACTAAGATTTTTTGTCAGATTCTTGTACGATTTCGTTCAGATTGCAAGATCTTACGTCAGATTTTTCGACTTGGGTACAACTCTTCCCACGGCAAAAAACCTGACGTCAGATCGTATAAGATCCAATAAGATCTTACCCTTATAAGACTTTTTCTATGATCTTATCACAAGATCCGATAATATAGTATGTCTTCGTTTTTTTAAAGATTTCATCAGATTCTGACTATAACATGCGAGCAAAAATCTTACGAGATTTAAAGATTAAGAAACATATCAGCACAGACTGAATGCTTCTTGTCAGATCGTATAAGATTCATACAAAAAGAAACATACACCAGGACATAATGTCAATCTTGCCTGTTCTTATCTGATCGTGAATGGTCTGTCCTGTTCTTTTACTCATTCGAGAATTGCTGATTCGATTAGTTTTACTATGCAGAACAGTAGTTGAAAAACAGGATCGAGCTGTGTACCTAATTTTTTTCTTATTTTTCTATACTAATACTATACAAGACAGCTAGTTTTATTTCTTATTTCTCTATATTAATAATATAGAAAATCCCATTTTTATTTCTTAATTTTCTATATTGATAATATAGATAACAGATAGTTTTATTTCTGATTTTTTTATATTGATAGTAGTGAAAATCTTATTTTTTACTTCTTTTTTTTCTGTGCTAATAATATGCAAGACAGTTAATTTCATTTCTTATTTTTCTACAGTGATAATATAGAAAATCTTAATTTTCATTTCCTATTTTTCTATATTGGTAATAAAAAAAAATCCCATTTTCATTAGTCTATTTTTTTTATATTAAAAATATAGATAACAGTTAGTTTCATTTCTTATTTTTCTATATTGGTAATATAGAAAATCTCATTTTTATTTCTTATTTATCTGTATTAATAATATAAAAAAAGAAATAAAAATTAGAATTTTCTATATGATTAACATAGAAAAGCAAGGAATAAAACTAACCATCTGCTATACTATTGCTGTAGGAAAAAAAATGCGATTTTCTATAGTGAGAGTATAGAAAAAAAAGAAATGAAAATTTATATTTTCTATATTATTCAAAGAAAAATAATAAAATAATTGTATGCACAGCTCGATCAAGTTTTCTAACTGCTGTTCTTCATAGTAAAACTACTCGAATCAACAAATCAAATAAATTTTAATTTTCAATTTTAGATTATTTAAATAAATTTTATATTTATTTTACATTATTTAACTAAATTTTTATTTTTATTTTTAGATTATTTAAAGAAATTTCTATTATTATTTTAGATTATTCAACTAATTTTGTTGTTTTTAATTTTAGATTAATCACAAAGATAAATTTAAGCGGACATATTAATTTAAATAAATAGGGATGTCTAGTTTGGCTGGAGGTTCTAATTCTTTTTTTCGTATGCAGTTTCGATGATCTATCATCTTAGCTACACGACAAAAAAGAATTGGAACCTCCGACCAGACTTGGCAACCCAAGTGATATTTTTTGCACTGTTTGGAGAGTGGGGGGATAGGAAATAGTTATACGGAGTATGATGACAATTGGTGCTGTATACGACCGTGTGCGATCGTTTACGGTGGTCGTATACAGTCGTATTTTGCCGTATACGACACGACGTTATACGGTCGTAATTCTGGCGGCAAGTAATACGGCGAAATACAGTCGTATACGATACGACCGTACACGATGGTATACGACATCGTATACCATCGTTTACGACTGTGGTAATGCTCGTCCTGGATATCTATCTCTTAATTGCTACCTGTTACAACCCGTATCGATTGATATGTTATTAGTCTAAATTATGCTTTTGGCATACTGTATGATAAAGAGGTTTTTCTACGACTGATCTAATTTCTGTTTCAATGTGATGTTTGACGTCTTTTCATTACAAACCTTGTGAAAACATTTTCGGATAATGAGAAAAAAACAAGATTTTGCCGACTGACTATTCTTACAACGAATGTGATCCACACCGATGAGGCCTTAAGTAAGAATTATACTCTATCCGACACAATTGGTATCTGAAGAATATTAATGGTTTCCGCTAGTCGAAAAAATATGGACTGTTAATACTCGAATCATATTGGAGAATTGAGCGATCCAATGGGATTTTTCTTGTACCTATCCTCCTTTTAAATTATTCTCATTAAAATGTGCCCATCACCATTTTTGTTTTTGTCAATTCTCGTGTTGAATAGGAAAACACGTGACTTCTTATCAAGTCAGTCCTCTAGCTGAGATACATTAGAAAGTAAAGAAAAATACAAGTTGCACTATCATTCAGCCATACTTAGTAATTTTTTTCGTCGTTCTGCTCTTCTCGAATATTCTATATTGACAATCGATTGTGCAATACCATCGTCAACTATATAAAGTCATGTTTCAACAGTCTTTCTTCTGCATTCCAATTGTAATCATCAACTGCGTGTTGCGCCATAAAAGCACACACTCGGCGGCTTAACAACCAACTCGATGGTAGATTGGAAACGTGTACTCTCGCTAGGGCAATATTTGCTTATGCATTGATATTTTCGTACTTCGAATTGACTCGAACTTTTTATGTTTGAGTTAGAAACCCGGCTTCCGGCGTGTTCTGATCATAACGAAACCCTGCTATCGTCGTTTAATACCGATGCTTCGGGTCGATCGGACATGTCGAAGGCCACCGATACTGAGATTATATTTGTTTTGTGTCGATTATATTGAATTACACAACAATATATGAAATCTCATCGGTGTATCTTCGACGTTTTCGACATATATGTCTACGAAGCCGAGTATCGAAGAGACGAATTTCAACATCCATAAGACAAATACTAGGCCCTTTCTGAGAGTACACATTTTTAATCTATATGAAAGACTTCTGAATTATACAGGTAAATATGAGATAAAAGTAAGTATTTTCAGTTTGATTTGATACGAACTATAATGATTCGATGTTCATATTGTTTTACATGTAAGTAAAATACTATACTCAGATGCATAGACTTCATTCACAAATATAGTGAAAAAGGAAAGAAGCATAATAATTGATTTCTGTTTTAGTAGTTTATTTTTTATGCTAACAATCAACATGTGACAATTAAACCTTGAATAAGATGGATGTTCAACATCGAAGATCTTTTTTGTTTAGTTGTATAGTGTTCTTTTTTAAATATTTAAATAAATAAATTTATTGTAGCCATCAAATTTTTTATTATGAATGAAATGGTGACTCTACAAAGTTTGTACTTTTTTCTTCATCATCACATACTTCCTGCTCTAATACATTAGATATTTTATTCTATATGGATTTGTTCACAATACCCAAATTGTCTTTCATTTTAATGCATCAACGACAAAGATAGAGCAAAAGAAATTCAACATAGTTTTTTTCATTGCATATTAGTTTAAGTCTCATATTCTACATATAAGCTAACAAAATCATGTGAAAGAAAAAGTGACAGAGCAATATTTTGTCATACACCTATGTACAATTGGATACAGAAAAGAAAGACCTTTTATTTTATGTATTACTCATAGTATTGCAGCTGAAGAAAGAAAAGAAATGGTGCATAGAAAAAGTGCAATGCATAGTACTATACGAGATGGTTACTATCAAGTTTTGAATCATCCATGTGCAGCCTCAATAATATCCAATATCTTTATTCAGGCGATCAATGATTTATAATACATAAACTGACTATTGTGAATATAATACAATCCATTTAGATAGGAGAGGGCTATATCATGGCTTAATGAGCCCCTCCGCTTGATTTACACAGTCAAAGGATCGATAATAATCGTCTTACACATGAATAGATTCATACAAAACAGAAAAAAAAACATGCTTTTCAACAATGTATATTCATTCATCACCTGTATAGATAAAGTTAGTGAAACGAACGCACTTTTTATGTATTACCATGTGCGCTTTTAATATTTAACAAAAGCAAAGCATTTGTTTTTTTTTCAAACAAAAAGCGAGCCTAAGAAAAATGAAAGTCAGAGATTTGTTTACGAAAAAAAAAAAATAAAAATCATTGTTTAAGGTAAAATATCCCCCTATCTAAGTGGGTAGTGGATCGATGTGAGTAATAACCGATTTGTCTGTATAAGTGAAGAGAAAAATGCATATTTATCATTGTGTCGCACTTGTTACTATTAGACATTACTTATTCGATTCATTTTCTTCTGTGTTATAATACAAAACTTAGTGATGGTTCGACGCAAGTTTGTGATGAGCAAAAAAACTAGAAAAAGACATTGTATCGATGGTGCCAAAGTATCAAACCGCGAGCCCAAGGATCCAAGTTTACGACAAAAATTTGCTGATCATATCGAGGTAAATACTTCTGGCCTTCCACCAAAAGTTGACCTTCGTCCATACATGTCACCTATTGGAGAGCAATCAGCTATTGGTAGTTGGTATGTATAAAATATTTCAGTTTCAATCATGATATCGATTAGATTTCTATTAATTTAGTGTAGGAGATGCTTTTGCAGGTAGATATGAATCTTTTTTTTTAAGATTTGATAAATGTTTGCTTGTAGGAGCTTATGAATATTTATTAAAAAAAAGTGATGGTCGTGATATTAATATTAGTCGGTTATTCATTTACTATAATGCTCGAGTTAAGGATAAAAAAGATTTGAACATAGATGAACCGCTCCACGATAGCGGTTGTACCAACACAAGCGCTCTTGAAACATTAAAAGAATTTGGTGTTTGTGAAGAAGAAATTTGGAAGCACGATAAAAAAGTCATAAATAAACGTCCTTCAGATGAAGCGTACGAAGCAGCTACAAGTAGAAAGATACTTGATGCATTAGAAGTTAACACAGATTTAACTGAAATGAAAACATGTCTTGCTCAAGGTTATCCATTTGTATTTTCCTTGAGAGTGTTCAATTCATTTGAAAGATTCTATAGTAAAGGTATTGTACCAATGCCAACACCAGAAGAAATAAAACAAGAAGAACCTGAAGGGTTTGATTTTTATGAAACACAAAAAATTTAAATTTAAATTTATCATTTTAGACATGCAATGTTAGCTGTTGGTTATAGTGATTGTTCGAAATCGTTTATCGTTCGAAATTCTTGGGGAAAAGAATGGGTAAATAAGAATCTCTTTGAAAAACATATTTTCATTTCGCTACATGTTAGGGTGATGAAGGATATGCTTTTATTCCATATGCTTACATGGTTAATCCGCATTATTGTTTGGAGGCAGTCGCTGTACGTCAAGTGGATAGCAATGATTTGGGCCATGACGGTTGGAATCAAGATGATTCAATTAATTATCACCCAGATGATGTTGATCCAGAAGACGATCACGAAGATGAATTTGAAATTATAGACGAGGATGTAGACGACGAATCAGAAGGAGAACAAGAGCAACAAGAAGAACAAGAAGAAGAATAAAACAATCAAGATAACCAATAACAATGCTTCTACTGATGAAACAATAAGCAAAATAAAGAGCCAATGGATCTTAGTTTTTTATTCTAATAATAAACTCATTAAACTAACAAATTTAGTCGAGCAAAGTTTTCATGTTATGGTTTCACTTTTATATGGTAATAAATGCTATTTGAACAAATAGTTAGCTTGAACTTATTAAACATATGCACTAAATATGTTCATTGAAATCAATATTAACCCTTCGTGGTTGTCGTGGGGTCCGCGCGGACCCATTTCACAGTTTTTTATTTAATACTACATCAAGAGCTTCTATTTCTGGCCAGTCCCCTTATCTAATCTCTAGTCCTATGTTGGTCTACAACATCCTTATTAGAAATCAACGATAAGCCTAGCAGATGAAAAATGCAGCTGTGGGTCCGGATGGACCCTACGACAACTATGCTGTTACCAGCATATTTTTCGTCTTGATAAAGCTGCCATCTGTTGATTCACAATTTTTTTTAAATGATTTACTTTGGTTGGCTTATATGTTACATACGTTTTTAAAGCAATTGAGCAATAGTTTGACAGATGCACAAAATCGTCGCCGTAGTCAAGAAGTTCGGCTTATGCCTAAAGTCAAACTGGCGTTGCTCTCACTAGGTTATCAGGTTCACTCAGAGAGCATCAAAGATGTTAGCCAAAACATCCAAATTCATCAAGCCAAAAAAGTGTTTCCTATGTCCAGCTCAACCAGGACGAAAAGTTCGACAAACATGTTCCAACTGTGGTCAAAATGTTTGTTTGTCTCATTCCACCAGTGTCACAGCAGTAACTTGTCAAACATGCATGGAAAAACATTAGAGTATACTTTGCATTTATGAAAAAAAGATTTATACACAAACAGTATCATCAGTTTGATAAAAAAAAACTGAGTTTTTATTGCTTTTTCTAATAATAAAGAGAAAGATAAAAGTAGCTATAGTTCAAAAAGAAAAGTTTCTTGCTTTCTCAATTGTACAATTGATTATATATATAACAACGTACGCGTAGAATCCTATCATCTAGACTAGATTGATATATTCTATGCTTTTCCCAGCTATTATCAATGTTGCTATAAAAACGATTAGAGAAGTAATTTTTTGCTATATCATACATCTTTACATTGTTTTCACGAGAGCTCACTCATTAGTTTTTATAAAGAAAGATCTCCACCTCTTCATATAAGTCAAATGAAACGCTTGAAGAAAGGAAAAATCGTTTTTTTTGTAATTTTCTATAGGTGGGTCCAGACGGACCCCAGGACAACTACGAAGTACAAAAATCAGGACAACCACGAAGGGTTAAGAAGAATTTAAAGCAAAGATCTCCAATTTTCTCTTTGCAAATAAAGAAGCAGTAGAGTTATTCATCAGCGTTGAAACAACATCAATGCTTCGAAAATCGGTTTGTCTCTTAAAAGGCTACCATTTTTTTGAAAGATGAATGTCATCATCAACCTGTTCTAAATGTCAGATATTCATTCGTGTGATAATAAAACTATCTAAGTGTCTATATGTGATGTGCAAATAACTTTTTTATATGTAAGATCTTAATATCACAGAGCAAGGAAATAAGAATAAGTATAAAAGTTTACCGCGTAGTAACTCAGATCGAAAAATCAGGCGTAAAGCCTTCAGGTCAGATCTCTGATATTGTATGATCCTATAATATTAGACGAAATCGTACTAGAAAATCGTGGTGTTCGCAAAACTTACAACAAATCTTAGCACACGATTCTTCTAAGATCATATTATCTACACGGTCTTAGAAGAATCTTGTGCTAAGACTTGATGTAATTTTCGCGGACACGACGATTTTTCTTACAATTTTCGTTTGATGTTAGAAGTTCAGGTGAGATCAGACTTAAAATCTTAAAAAACCTTACCATCGGATTGTTTGCCCTGGAAATGGCTGAGATAAATAACAGTATTAAGATTCTATTTGATAGTTTGTGTCAAGAAAATGGAGTCAACAGAAATACTAACCGAACAGTAAGTGTTGATATTATTAGATCTTGATATGGGTTGTCCGTACCTGAACTGGACTTCTAGTGTTGACAAGGACTTCGTAGATAAGAGAACATAGAATAAAATCTGGTTTTAAGTGGTTAAAATGGTACTAGTTGTATGCAGTCAATGTTTGATTTTTCAACTAAAAGATGGATTTTTCTTGAGATTAATCTTTCGTAATCAATTTCTTCACAAAATAACCTCAATCGAGAAAATTTTATTGATCGAACACAAAAACTACGACAAAATTCAATTGTAATCAATATTTATAGGGAAGAATCATGTCTGAATCAAAATTAAATATCATCATTTAAACAAATATGATGGAATTCAATTTATTTTCGAAGAGAATTTTCTCCGTTCGTGTCTAAGCCCTAATAGCGATAAAGACGTGTCAGTAATAACGGTGTTTAGACTAAGCTGGAACCTTCTAGAACCTTCCAAAAGATTTTGCAAGCGTAAGATTTCTATTGCATATACTGACTCGTCTAAATATTGTACATTGCGGAGTTTAATGCAACGCAGGAATCTTACTCAAAAAGTTACTCAATTGAATGGCGGTTTTACTGGTCTAGTGAAGTCACAATTGGAGCACCTGAAAAAGAACGAATTATTTGAATTCTAAGCTTAGGTAAAACAGAACATGGTGTGTCAAAATTGGTTGAGAGTAACAACGGTGTTTTTCGGATGCTGATTTAATGATCAAATCATTGTGCGAACTAGATTAACTGAGTGTTTGAACCGACGAAACAAGTGATAAAATGATAATTCTTGCTCCCTATAACACATATCATCTTGAATGTCATTAGTATAAACAAAATTATGCAGTGAACATGTATCAGACAATACCAATAAGTTATCTCTGCTGAAACAATAGTGAATGAATCTGATGAATCGGTAGGAGAGAAATTCTAAATGTAAACATTGTTCAATGATAAAAATTCCAAACGTCCCTTGCAATTTAAAACATTTTTTTAGTTTTAATTTATTTGTTTATATGATATTTGTAAGATCAAATTACTTTTCAATCCCTTTGATGATATAACACAGACTTTTCAAGATTAAGAGTTTGCACATTTCAGAGTTTAACTATCGATGGAAAGGCACTAAAAAGTTTTTTATTAATTTTTATCAGGATTGAAGTTTTTCAGTCAACCCAAATTTCATAGTAAGATGAACCATCTTTGTTATTTATGAAATTAGAACATGATTTGAGACCTATTACAAGGAAGGATTTCTGAAGAATAGTCTAGAGGAAACCAAAGATCTTGAGATCAAAAATGTTTAAAGTGAACAGAGTTGAGAATATGAGTTGGAGACTTCAATTTTCTAGATCATGGTAGATGCATGCAGTAATCTTTGAGGCTTGTCTTCTGCACGAGTATACTCTTCCCTAAACGAATCCTGACTGAAGCTGATTAGCATCTGATCAAAACTTTCATACTTGCAGTAGGTATTCGAAAATTTGATCTTATATCAAAAATCATATCGTTTCGTTTATTCCATAAACAGAAATAGAAAAAAGAAATATATTGTCTCAGATTCGACAGAAGAAGCGAGTGATGTAGGATTCAATTCATGTCCCTTTGCTTCTAAAATCCGACTTATTTCGCTACATGTATGTTTTATTGTTGTTCATGACAATGCAATAGAATCCAGTCTTCTTACCAAATATCATAATTGTGGATATAAACATCGATCCTTTTATCACTATGACAATATATGTGCATCTTATTGATAATTTATCTTTCTCTCTATGTATTCCGTAACTTTGTGGTACAATTCATCACTGTGTGTCGGCTAATTTCCATTATAAAGCAATTCTTTTAGTAAAAGAATATGTCATTTTATTTCTGTGGTCTATTCTCAAGTAGGATAAATTGTTCAATCATAATCAAACTGGATTTCAGTCCTATGCTCTAATTAAATTTAAAGATGATGTTAGTATGCCTAATATTTCAATGAATAGGAGTGAAATACAAGAATTAGTGCCTTTCAAATGTATAGATTCCTTCATTAGTCAATCGATGAGTGCAAAGAGATATCACTTAATATATTTGATGAATAAAGAAGACAAATATTTGTAATGGTATTGTTAATTTAATTATTGGGCGACAAGTGCTCGATCTATTTTCTTGTATTTGAAAATTTTAATCATGATATGCATAAAAGAGCTAATAATCTAATATATCGAATTCGTTTATCGGTAAATATAAACTATCGTTTTTAACGACTTCATCGAAGCGTAATTGCAGGAGTTTATGAATATTTATTAAAGGAAGCTAATGATCATAATATTGATGTCAGTCAATTATTTGTTTATTAAAATGATTGTTTTAAAAATGAAGAATGTGGATGTGGGTATGATATTCTGTTCATTTATACCGACACCTAAATTCACAGTCGCATCAACACCCACCCTTTCTGGAGAGCGAAATTTTCCATTTTGTTTTTTGCTATCCAAATTAGGATTTTGAACTCGAAATGTAACTCAAAAAAAATTTCATTATTTAAAAATTATCTTGGAGGATGTTTTCCACTCTCTAGTAAGCCTGGATGTTCGAAAGCAGATCAACGACACAGACGACAAAATTCTCTATCTTTTAGTATAAAATTCTTTGATTTCGAGATCTTCCATAGTTTCACAAAGTACGAACAACGATGCGTTGCAGTGAAGTAAATGTATACATTGTCGTATAAAAGTAAAATGTTCGTTTTGGAAGTGAAATTTTTACTTTTGTAAAGCTTGATATTCTCTGTTTTGATATATAAATGAATGTTTAGTACGCATTTAAACGAGAGAAATATTACATTTATATCGAATTCGATTCATTATGATCCACGTGTTACTTTTGCTTTTTTTTATCCGTCACTGATTCTTTCAGGAAAAAGACATCGATTGTTTTCTTTTCTTTTCTATTCTGTCTAACATCAGCTGTTAAAGAAAGAAAAAAAAGCGATATTCTTTCATTCTATGCAATCTCAAATAAGGCATCAAGTACACATTTTTCATGACGCTTGGAAAATGATGACATCTCGTAATCGTTCAAAACTTCTAAAAGGGAATTCTTCTACTTCACCAACAACTCGAAACAGAAACTCATCAAAAAATGCTGTACAAATAGATGAACAAGATTCACGACCTCGACTATTTTCATTGAATTCTCCTATTAGATGTGGTACAAGTGGTTATTCTTACAAAAGGTTAGTTAGTATTTTGTGTTTGATTCTAATCTATTTTTCAAAATATTCAGTTGGCATATGGGTCCAACATATCAAAATTATTATCCAGATAAAAATGAATTTGAATATTATTGTGGTGTATGTATTTTTTTTTGCAAAATTTTGTTTGATTAAGCATATTGTTTACATGTAGGAATTTGATACTGTTGAAATAAATTCAACATTTTATCATATTCCACCAGATTCTGCTTTCAACACTTGGGCTAGCAGAGTTCCTCGACCGTCGTTTCTTTATACAATTAAAGCGAATAAGTAAGAAATATGTTCATTCGTTGATATTTCTTAGTTTTTTTTCTGTTGTTTTTTGAAGATTTTTCACTCATATGAAAAAATTAAATATTGATGAAGTATGGATTGATCGATGGGAAGTAAGGAATAGTTGTTTTTTTTAAATAATATTTAATTCTTATTTTTAAATAATAGCAATTCTGGAATAAATGTTTATTACTTCAATCACATCTTGGACCTCTTCTTTTGCAATTTCCACCTGGATTTAAAAAGACATTAACAACAACATCTCGTTTTCATGATTTAGCAAAAGTTTTACCTCAACATGGAAAATTTGCTTTTGAATTTCGAGATAGTTCATGGTTTTGTGATGAAATATATGAAGTTATGAAAAAATACAAGTAAAATAAATATCTTTTAACTATTTGCCTTTAGTGTCCTTAGCCATTTGAGTGATCATTTGTAGAAAGAATTGCAGAAAATAATTCATTTTGCCTTGTTACATTTTTGATAAAGATGAACTACAAAATCAACAAATTTGAAAAAGTTCGATTTTTTTAAATACAACGTTCTTCTACCAATCAACAAGATATCAGATGGGAATATATTCTATTAGTATTAATACCATTCGAAAGTTTCGCAAAAGCTAATCAGAAAAGAAATAATAAAACATAGAATGGTCACTAAAGATGTTTCAGAAAAACCAAATCTTTGATTTTTCAGTGCCTATACCTCAAGTATAAAAACTTATTCAGGCTATACAAAATGAAATGTCCTATACTCTCTACGACGATTTTTTTGTGGAACTACATTGGATTTACAAATGGTCTTAGATTAAAGTTCATTGAGTCTGGGACCAACCCGATAGGCTTTACCTTCGATAATTTTTGTGTGAAATCCTTCTCTACCTAATAGTCTCTAGAATGACTAAATGAGAATGCGCTTGGTTGATCTATCTATACTATCGACATATCGGAGACATGCATATTCTAGAGTGTACCTCAAACATCTCGCACCACTTTTTGATTTAGATTCGCCTATTTGAATTACATAACATTAATTTTATTCGACTATATCCCGGTTTAGTTGAATTCGAGTACTTCATGTGTATAGATATGTGTAACATGATAAAACCTTGAATATGAAGTAAAAGAAAAAAATTAATAAATTTCACTACTAAAAAAAAAAACAAAAAAGATATTATTGTTATGAAGGATCCTGTTGAATTAGATCACCTATTCAGAGTTGAGAGGCTGTAGTAGCTTAGTTTTAGTCTTTCTTTCGACCATCCTTACACTCACAATGACATGGAGAATCACCAATAATGAAACACTGTGAGAAACCATTGAAAAATGGTGTTGTTTTCTGTCAAAGAGAGGATGATTGTAGATGTTAAGTATATGAGCTTAAATACACAACTTAAAATTAAAAATAATGGTGCGAAACTTTTACAATGCACTCTTTTTTCAATAGTTGTTTCATCTGTGGCTCATCTGAAATCTCTATGAAAAATAATAAGTTAATGCATATTTATTGGTATTTTTTTTTCTGGTTCTAGTTGGTGTTTATGTGTTATTGATTGTGAAAATTCAAAAAAATGGTGTGGTGATTTACCGAATGGAACGCTTCCAATAAATATTGATGATCATAAAACTTGTGATTGGGGTGTCTATTATCGTAAGTTTTATAATGTTAATAAAAATCAACGAAATGATTTGAATAATCGAATAGGTTTTCACGGTCCAACAGGTCAATATGCAGGTGTTTACGGAGAAAAACGAATGCGTCAAATAGCTGAAAGCACAACAAAATATTTTCTCAATAATAATAATCAGAATTCTATTCAACTTTTCTTCTATTTCAATAATACAGACAGTGATTCACCACCAGCTGCTATACAAGATTGTCGATATCTTGTACAAGCATTTAAAGATCTTAAAATAATGATTGACTAAACATTTTGTGTCATATGCTTGTATATTATATAAATTCACTAGAGGCCCCTGTGAAGGGTTGAACTCAAGGAGGAAAAGCGGGACTCCTGGAGTGCGTACTCCCACTGTACTATCCTGTTCTTCCACTGTACCCCCCTGTACCTCCTCTGTGCTCCCCTGTACTTCCTTGTACCTTCACTGTACCCCCTGTACCTCCTCTGTACTATCCTGTACCTTCACTGTGCTCCCCTGTACTATCCTCTAC